CATTGTTGTTTGGCGGGTCCGGGCTGGGGATTTGAACCCGCCACCTTAGGTGTACGTGGCTGGTGCCTTAGCCGGTTGAGCTATAGGTGCTGAGCCTTAGCAACAGTTTTAATTTCATATTTTTATTATTTATTTTTAAATTGACAAAAATTGTATATATTTAAGATATAGGATGTCATGTTTTGATATTTATATACATTACGGAATGGATAATCAAATGCTTGTAATCAAACATTACTTCACATATTTATTTGTAATGAGAATGATTAAAATCTACTCCCTTAGCACTTTTCAAGAATGCAATATGTTATTATTAACTATAGTCACCATATTGTATAATAGATTTCTTGAACTTATTCCTCTTGTCTGACCAAGATTTTCTATCTTTTGAACAACATCCCTCCAATCCCTGTCCAGCCCCTCCACCACCCACCCCAGGAAGCACCTGGTAACCATCATTCTACTTTCTCCTTCTATGAATTCGATTGACTTTTTTTGATTCAATATATGTGAAATCATGGAGTATTTGCATTTCTGTGCCTGGCTTATTTCACTTAACATAATGTTAAGTTTATCCATGTTGTTCCTAATTATACGATTTCTGTTTCTTTTTAAGGCTAAATAAAATTATATTAGATACTATATATATGTATATATGTGTGTGAGTGAATTATATTAGATACTATATATATGTACATATATATATGTGTGTGTGTAACATTTTCTTTACCTGTTCATACCTTGAAGTATAATTAGGTTGCACTGGCCATGGTGAATAGCTCTTCAGTAAACATGAGTGGTGATGACTCTTCAATATACTCATTTAATTTCCTTTGAATATAACTGTATACCTAGTGATTATAACGCATTTCAATATGATTGTCTCCATGAACTGAATCAGATCAGGTTCTCACAGTCAAGCTTTCCATCTCAATTCCACGTTAAGAACCAGGTACATTAGCGCGTGAGTTCTAGGGGAGTGAGGCCTGAGAGATTGTTCTCCTTCCCAGAGCTCTGGCTGGCTAAGGGAAGTGGGAGCTGGGGGGAGCACATGCAGCTCTTTCTGGGATCACTCCTTGCTTCTTGAACAAACATTCAGCAACCTCCTCTCCTCTGTGTTTCTCTCTGTTAAAGACATTCCAGAACACTGGCAAAGGATATTTTGAATCAGGTATTGAATCAAATCTGAGATTTGAGCATTGAATCAAATTTGGGGAGTTTTGGCATTATTTCTTCAAATATTCTCTCTACCCCCTTCTCTCCTCTGCCTTCAGGACTTGGTACGCTTGATGGTGTTCTACAAATCTGAGGCTCTATTAATTTTTCTTTATTTTTTCCTTCTGTTCCTCAGGCTGGATAATCTTGATTGACTTATTTTCAAGTTCCTTGATTGTTCCTTTTTTGAACCCCTTGAGAAAAATTTCAGCGTCAGATATTGTGCTTTTTAGCTCCAGAGCTTCTTTTGGCTCTTTAATTTTGAAATTCTTGTCTTTTTATTGATATTGTATCTGGTGAGATATGGTTGTCCTGGCATCCATTAGTTCACTGACCATGGTTTCCTTTAGTTCTCTGAGCATGTTTGAGACAGCTGACTTGATGCTTTCATCTAGTAAGTCAGACAAGTGGGCTCCCTCGAGGCTGGTTTTGATTGTTTTTCCGCTCTGTGAATAGCCATACTTTTTTGGGTTTGGTGTTTGCTTCATATTTTTAAACATAAAACTGGAAAATTTGAACATTATAATGTAGCAACTTTGGAAATCAGGATTCCCCCATCAAGGCTTGTAGTTGCTGTACTTAATTGTTCAGCAGCTTCACTAAACTCTTTTGTGGAAAGACGGTTCTTTGTCCTGTGGCCTTAGGAGTCTCTGCTCAGTTAGCATACTGGTCAGCAAGCATTCTGACAGAGATGGCTCTTACTGACTAGAGGAGAGTATTACTTTCCCAGGCTTTGTGCATCAGTTCTGTGTTGGGTCCCTCCCCCATCGCTTAGCCAGGTGTGTAAACTCTGTGTTGGCATGCACTGCCTGCTTGTGTGGGGCCCATATTTGGCAACTTCTTTCCATTAGAGCCCCTGTTGTGTTTGCTCACGTTCCAGAAAACTGACAAAGTTGATTGAGAGGGTTTTCCCAATGCTTTAGTGGAGGGATGAATGTTGGTGCTCCCGAGCCCAATTTTGGTGACATCACTGGGTGGTGTTGTTTTCTTGCCGGTTTCTGACCCTCCCAAGGCTGGGGTGTGAACTGTGTTTGGCATCAAGGACAAGCACAGCACGTCTGAGGGTCTGGGAGCCACACTGCCTGCATCTTCTCCCCCAGAGTTTCGACTGGTGAACGGCAGCAGCAGCTGTGAGGGCCGCGTGGAACTCCAGGTGGAGGGGGCCTGGGCACCCCTCTGTGCTGCCCACTGGGACTTGGGCGATGCCACCGTGCTCTGCCACCAGCTCAAGTGTGGCCATGCTGTGGCCACGCTGCGAGGAGGCCATTTTGGGGATGGGGATGCTCCCATCTGGCCTGACGCCTTTCACTGTGAGGGGACAGAGCCCCATTTGTTCAACTGCACAGCAAGCACCCTGGGGGCCCCTGCCTGTGCCCCAGGAAACTCGGCTTCCGCAGTCTGTTCAGGTGGGTGCAGCCTCAAGGCTGTGAGGCAAAGGGTGAGTTGAGACTGGATGGGTTCTTCCTGGGGTGGTGGTCAGTCCCCTGATGCCCTGTGGCCCCAGCGTGTATCCCTCAGCAGGTCTTCCCCATGCCCTGAGGCTGAGAGATGGTCAGAGCCACTGTGATGGGCGCGTGGAGGCCTCCCTGAATGGCACATGGGGCCGAGTCCTGGATGATGCATGGGATGTACGTGGCGCACGCGTCGTGTGCAGGCAGCTTGGGTGTGGAGGGGCAGAGCTAGCCTACGACGCACAGGCTCCTGGCCACCGGGCTGTCCCGGTGGGGCTAAGCCGCGTGCACTGTCTGGGCAACGAAACCCGCCTGGGCCAGTGCAACCTGTCTGTGTCCCTGTGGGAGACGGCAGGGACTTCGAAGGACGTGGGCGTTGTGTGTTCTGGTGAGTGTGGAACCTCAGGTCCCATCCCCGCCGGCCCCCTCTCCCTCCCCACGGCCCCCTGACCCGGGAGCCCTGATTCGGTCTCTCTGCAGGGAGCCTCCGGGTGCGGCTAGCCGCGGGGCCGGGCCGCTGTGCTGGACGCGTGGAGGTGTTCCACGGGGGAGCATGGGGCACCGTGTGTGACGACGCCTGGGACCTGCAGGATGCGCACGTGGTCTGCAGGCAGCTGGGCTGTGGCCGCGCCCTCAGCGCCCCGGGGGCGGCCCATTTCGGGGCCGGAGCGGGGCTCATCTGGCTGGATGAACTGGGCTGTCAGGGCCAAGAGTCTGCGCTGTGGCAGTGCCCGTCGGGGGCCTGGGGCCAGCACGACTGCGGGCACAAGGAGGATGCTGGGGTCTTCTGTTCAGGTCAGAGCGGCCCGTCCACCCTGTGGTCCCCACCCACACCAAGAGCTGGGCTTGCTGACTGCCCTCTCTGTCCGCAGAGTTCACGGATGTGAGGCTACAGAACCACAGTGGACCGTGTGCAGGGCGGCTGGAAGTTTTCTACAATGGGACCTGGGGTGGGGTCTGCCAGACTCTGAATGCAGCCTCCCTGGGGGTCCTGTGTGAGCATCTGGGCTGTGGGCCCCAAGGCCAGCTGCTGGCTGGGGCAGGGAGCTGGCCTGGCCCCGAGGCTCGCTGGCTGGCCTCCATTCAGTGCAGGGACAGGCACGATCGGTCCCTGTGGCAGTGCCCATCAGCCCCCTGGGACCCGGATTCCTGCTCTAGCGGAGAGGAAGCGTGGGTCCTGTGTGCAGGTGAGCGGGGCCTGTGTGTGCGGGTGGGGGCTAGCTGAAGGTCCTCCCACCTGGCTGGCTGCAGGGCCCTTTTCCAGAGGGAGGAAGCATCAGCCTTCCCTTTGCCATAGGTGGTGGTGGTCCCGTCCCTGCCCTGAGGCTCTGAGCTGAGTGGGGAATCAACCGCAATCGCCTCAGACCCGTAGCTCTCCCGCAGTGGGGAAGCAAGACGTCCCCCCCTCACCTCCTGTAGGTAGCAGGAGTAGTCCTGGGGGGTTGCTTAGCCAGTGTGGGCGTCCCTTGCTTAAACAGAGAGCGTTCTTCTTTAGCAAACAGAAATCCTCTTTTTGGGAGAAAGAAAGAAAGGAAGGAAGGAAGGAAGGAAGAAATGAATGAATAAGGAAGGAAGGAAGGAAGGAAAAGAAAAGAAAAACATTTGAGAAACTGTAAGTCGCAGGGCTTGCAAATAAAGAATGGGTCCTACTTTTGTAAACAGAAAAGGCAGGAGTTCCGCAGGACCTTGGAGAGAGCCTGAACTGCTCATCCACACTCAGCTGCCCAGGTAGCCCCCTGCCTTCTCCCTGTCACTGTCCCCATCCTGGTCCGGCGCTGGCAGTGACTGTAGCCCCCTTCTCCAGAGGAGGGCGCGCTGCGTGTGCGTGGGGGCTCGGACAACTGCTCTGGGCGCGTGGAGCTTTGGCATGCGGACTCCTGGGGCTCGGTGTGCGACGACTCCTGGGACCTGGCGGATGCGGAAGTCGTGTGCCGGCAGTTGGGCTGTGGTCGGGCTGAGAATGCGCTGTGGGGGGCCGCCTTTGGCCCTGGCTCAGGGCCCGTGTGGCTGGATGAGGTGGGGTGCCGGGGCAGCGAGGTGTCCCTGAGTGAGTGCCAGGCTGAACGGTGGGGACATGGAGACTGCACGCACAAGGAGGATGCGGCTGTTCGCTGCTCAGGTGAATGAAGGAAGCGACAAGAGTTGGTGTGAAGACGTCAGCAGTAGACCCAGTGTGGTCGCTGGGGCTGACTCTTCTTGCCTTTGTTAAACGCTCAGAGTCCCATGATTTAGTGGGTTGGTTTCACCTTTTCTGACGTTCCTTTGTTGTGGTGGGTGGCGCAGGACTGTCCTCTCTCATCTTTCTCCTGTGTTTCCTGCAATCCACGTTTGCTCTCGGGAAATGGGGCTGCAACTCATTTGGCTGCACCTCATTCTCTGTGCAGAGGTGAGACGTCCACTCCTTGTGATACCTTTGGCAGAGCTGGCAGCAGTGGGCAACTCTTGAAGCCTCTGTATTGGGACCTATGCCACTCACTGTTTTACTAAGGGGGGAAGATTGTCTCATGAAGACTGAACCCCCCACGCCTAGGGACAGCAGCCAATTCTGGGGTGTCCTGTTCAGCTGATACCAGTAGCTTGCCCCTCAGCACTTCCTATTTCACATGCTCCCTATGAGGGCAAGGCTGAGGGTGTTGTCTTTCAGACCATCCGGCAGGCTCAAGACCTCTTCCTCTGCAGACCCTCGTCCAGACCCCTTGCCGGCTGCAGAGCCCTGTCATGTGCTCAGGGCTGTCAGCGCTGTCCTGGGAACTCTTCTCGCTCTTCTCCTTCTGGGCCTCATTGCCTTCCGCGTTCTTCTTCTCACCACACAAGCCAAGCATACAGGTAAGCACGAGCCCATCTTGATCCCAACAGCCAGTGTGGCAGAAAGAAACACCCCAAGCTGGTGTTGGGGTCCATGCAATTTGGTCTCAAAATATCTTGAGGTATTTGAGTCTCAAAGTATCTTAGACATCTGAGTCAGCCTCCAGCCCCTGGGACATTGAGCTAATCCTTAGAGGGTGCCACTTAGATTCCACATTGGGTCTCTACTGGTGAGAGAGGTGGTTGGGTGGGAGGGCACTGAAAACATGGCCCTGTTCCCATGGCCTGTCCCAGCCCAGAGCCCCTGCCTCTCTGCTACCTGAGTGGGTCCCTGCCTGAATGTGCTGTCCTGTCCTGCATCCGTGCTGAGGGTCTGCCTGTGACTACACTTGCCCTGCCTCAGGTCTGGGAAGATCTGAGGCATCTCCTGAAGAAGCCACCTATGAAGTCATCTTGGAAATGCCACTAGCAGCATTGTATGAAGAAATTATGGAAGCCCAGGATGAGTGCCAGGGTGAGGAGCCTGGGATGTGGTAAAGGTGACTGCAGCAGCCTCAGGTGGATTTGTGCCTTCCCCTGGGTACTGAGACCTGGTGTGGGCTCTGGATGCTGAACACAGGATGCAATGGAGGCAGGATCTGACTGCTTGAGGCAATGGAGGGGTACTCTGACCGCAGGACACCCTGGTTGAGAAGGCCTCCTACTCCAGTGCTGGTGTTTGCCAGGGGAGCCCTTGGGTTGGGACAGTGGGACCAAACCAATGAGGGAAGACTTGGTGGTGGAGTCCTGATCATAGGGGCCTGTGCTGGGGGAAGAGGCCAGGTGAGGTGGGTTAGGATCTGTGGGGCTGGTAGGTGGGAATGTCCACTCTGTTAACATGTCATGTTTCACTCAGTCCTTTCTCCTCACCTGTGGGGTGAGCAAGACAAAACTAGATGGAACTACCCATGCTGTTGCTACAGGCTATACCCCATTGAGGAGATCCTTTGAACACTGTCAGGTGTTTTTTGGTTGATATTTATATGCATCTTAGTAGAGGAACATCTAACAGGCCATGACAACCATGGCTTTCCATATGTGGCTTATGGGACAGTTTGCATGTTATGTCAATAAGGTAACATATGTCTCTTGTGCCAGTTTCAGGGGGGTTGTCTGACATCACAGATGAACAGTCTACACCCGAGGAGAGTTATGATGAGGTTGTGTCTCCACTGGAGGAGATGACATCATAAAGCACCCTGAAGATCATGTATACAGTTTCAGCTAATAGTGTCAAAATAACAGTTCTTTATTTCTTTTACAATTGGACTGAATTTTACAAGACCTCCCCTCCCCCCATTCCTTCTGATGCAATATCCTCAAACCATTCTGACAAAATCTAAGGGATATTTTATGTTGTTAGGTATGCTATGTAATTTTCAGGTTTCCTGCATATTTACAGAAAATATAGTACACAGAAAAATTCATTGTTATGTTTTGTGGCTTTTAAAAACAAATGGTACTGTTTTCATATGCTATTCTGTAACTAGCTTTTGCTACCCAGCAGTGTGCTGGAAAACTCCATGTCAGAATGTAGAATCTGTCTTCCTCTTTTTTCTGGACATTGCTTGTGTGACTCCAAAATTTCTTTTAAATTTTCTGCACATGTAATATGTAATCTGTGAATGTCAGGTTTAGCCTCTTCTTCCCAAACAATATATTTTTAACCTCTTCTTCTGTGCCTTATTTCATGGATCAGGACCAGTGTTGAAGAGAGGTAGACATCAGATGCCATGTATCATTCGTGACCTGAGTGAAAGCATCTCATATTTCATTTCACTGTTAAGTATATATTTCACTGTTAAGTTAAAAGGTGTTCTCTTTTTGTAGATGCCATTTATCAGATTAAGGAATAACTACTTTATCTCTCACTTGCTAAGGGGTTTGCATTTTATTTTAAGTAAGTGTTGACTTTTATCAAATGCTTTTTTCTGTATCAAGTGCTACATGATTTTTCTTCCTTTTTTTGGTTAGTGTAGTCACCTATAATGATTGATTTTCACATGTTGAAATCTGAAAGAAATTTTCTTTCAGTTTTCTTTGGTTAAGAAAACTCAACTTTATCATGATATATTATTATTTACATATTTTGCAGGAATCTAACTGGTAATATGTTGTTGCCTCAATGTTTAAAATGTTTAAAAGAGAGATAGATGTGGCATATCTTTTCTTTTTTTGCAATGTTTCTGTTTAATATTTAGTATGTGGATTATTTAGGTCTCATAAGAATAAGAACAAATGCTTTCCTTTAAAAAAATATTTTCAAGAGTATGTTACATTGGTTTTATTTCTGCTTAAACGTTTGGAAGAATTCATTAGGGAACCCATCTGGACTTGCAGTTTCCTTTTGAGAAGGTTTTCTTTCAGATTTAACTTTTTAAATTTTCTACATGTGTTCACATGTATTTATTTGGTTTCCACTTTTTGCCTTCACAAAATTAAAAAGGCTTAAAATTTAATAACAATAATAATGTTTAAGATAAGGACTAGAAACAAAAACCTCATAAAGAATGAATGAAAGTAAATACATTCAGAAATCAGATGATTGCTGCAACAAAATATTGAGCAATAATAATAATAGTGATGATGCAAAAAAAGTAACATTCACATTGTCAGATAAGAGTATGTCTATCATAGAATGCTTTGACTCCGAGGTTAAGTATGGACTCATCAGTTAAATTCTTCTTCTTATTTTTTCCCCAAAGTCTCAAAAAATAGACAATACTTATAAATAAAAATAAAAGATAATTTTAAAAAACAGATCATGCCAAATCTTATAGACAATAGAAAAAGATGACTTACTTCAAAATCATTCTACTTCATCTGGATATAACTGGTATTAAAATCAGAAAAAATATATTATTATAAAGGGAAATTGCAAACATATTTCACTTACAAATGAGGATGCAATAGCCTAAACAACTTATTAACAAGTTGAATTAAAAATTAATGTTCAAGTATGTACTTTGGTCAAAATTAAATCCAGTTTATGTGAGAATTAGTCACTATTTTCTTTTCTTTTTTTTTCTTTTCCTTTCCCTCACCCCCTCCCTCCTTTTCTCTCTGTCTGCTCTCCCCTTCCCCCATGCCCCACCGTGTCATTAATTGTCCTCATATCAAAGTTGAATACATAGGATTCATGCTTCTCCATTCCTGTGATGCTTCACTAAGAATAATGTTTTCCACCTCCATCCAGGTCAATACAAATGCTACAAAATCTCCATTTTTTAAAATGGCTGAATAGTATTCCATGGCATACATATGGACATGGCCAATCCATTCCTGGGTTGAGGGGCATTTACTGTTTCCACATTTTAGCAATTGTAAATTGAGCTGCGATAAGCAGTCTAGTACAAGTGTCTTTATAATAAAAGGTTTTTTCCCCTTCTGGATAGATGCCCAGTAATGGGATTGTAGGATCAAATGGGAGGTCTAGGTTGAGTTCTTTGAGGTTTCTCCACACTTCCTTCCAAAAAGATTGTATTTGTTTGCAGTCCCACCAGCAGTGCAAAAGTGTTCCTTTCTCTCCACATCTGTGCCAGCATCTGCAGTTTTGAGGTTTTGTGATATGGTCCATTCTCGCTGGGGTTAGATAATATCTCAGGGTGGTTTTAATTTGAATTTCTTTAATAATTGGGGATGATTAGCATTTTTTCATGTGTCTGTCTTCTTTAGAGAAGGTTCTGTTCATCTCTCTTCCCTAATGATATATGGGATTATTGGTTCTTTTTCTTGTGGATTAATTTAAGTTCTATATTAGGGTGACCAGATTTTAACATCTGTAAGGCGGGACAACATGGCGCGGGGCGGGGAGAGAGGCAGGGGATGGGGCAGGCAGGGCCTGACAACAATGCAAACTTTGATAAGCAGTTCTCGATAATCACTTCTCAGCAATTATTTGTTACAGTTTAACATTATAAAATTAACAAAAATAATATAAAACTCATATTCTGGCGAAATAGCCACATGGCGGCTGAAAACCGTATATTCCCTTCTTGTTCTCCTGCCAGTTCATGCATTCTTTCCAAAAATTGAGACTTTTTAAAAACGCTGTGGGACATGGGACAAATTGTTGAAAAGCGGGACTGTCCTGCCAAAATCGAGAGCCTGCCAAAACCCTATTCTATATAGATCCTAGTTATTAAGCTTTTGTCTGATTAAAAATATTCTAATATCCTTTCCTATTGGGTAGGTTGTCTATTTGCTTTGGTTATTGTCTCCTTAGCTGTACAGAAGCTTTTCAGTTTGATTAAATTTCATTCGTTTATTATTACTGTTGTTGC